GCCAATCAAGCGTTTTGCAACGTTTGACTAGTAGTATACATGCTGCCAGATTGTAGCCAGGTTATCTACCCCGAGGTTTGTCTTCAGAAATCTCTCAATGCTGCACGCGCACCCTTGGAGTGGTGGTGGTGGTGTCGTGGTCGTGACTGAGGCTCATGAAAATAATCATGGAGACTTTTTTCGCAGGTCTGCACCGATCGTCGACTCCCATTGGTGCCTCTTTGATGTTCCTAATCTCAGAACGAATGTTTCGACGGCCAAGTACTCTCTGAAATCTATCTTCGGCTGGGAATTCATTGCTGCCAGCCCATGAATGCGCAAACCCTTCGAAAATACCTTTTATTGGTCATAAAATGACCTCTACGATAATTCTACCGTCGTGTATGTGTGTGTCATAGCTCTTGTAGAGAAATTGGTGTAGCAGACCTTGGCTGTCATGAGGCGGGTACAAACGCGTCTGCTGTGGTCGTAGGCGACAATGCCAACTACAGAGCTAGTGATTTGCGTGCGAATTAGTTTATATTAAAAGCAAGCTTTGGCGTGGACTCGAGACAGCTCATCCATCCATGCGTGCCGTGAACTGACCTGACCCGCATTTCGATTCAGCGCAACCCGTTGTGGCAACCAAGTGGCACGTAAAGATGACTTTTGTAAGCCTGAACTCATCGGTGTCGTCTGTGTTACGCGCTGTGGCCAGCTAGGGTCCTCAGTGACTGAATCAACCTATTCAACGCTTGATACTAAATGAGAGCCCCGTAGGTCGGTAGACACGAAAAAAGCGAGTTCGAGGAATCAGATCAGGGGGAGAAGATGCGATCACAGGAACCAGAAATTGATTGGCCTGGGATTCTTACTTGTAGTCCTCATGAGAGACAGTCGCAGATAAGGCTATTAGAACCACAAAGATGGTAAAAACCCAGAAATTAATTACTCGTATGCGGACTGACAAGAGTCATCGCGTTAAGCTAAAAGTCCCCGTGGCGATCACCAGTGTTGCTGGTTATAATGCGCATGCAGTCGCATGACAATTACGACCTATAATTACTGCACTCCTTGTGCTCTCGACACCCTTATCGTCGACGTGTTTTTGGGGTGAAAATCTGAAACGTCAGGCCAACAATCTTCTTGTGCTAGAATTCGCATTTTCTTCGCTTGAAGTCCATAGGCTTTGGTGGTTTCCACCGGTCACTTCTGATATTCTTCACCGAAGGGGCGAGCGGATCTGGACCGAATGTCCTGTACTAGGCGAAGGCACTGCAAAAGCCACCCGGAGCCTAAACAGTTCTTTTTTACCCAAATAGCTCGTCTTTCTTGAGATTTTAAATCTACCGGGAAT